ATATATCGGAAACAAACGAACCACGACAAATTTCTGTCAAGCACCAGCTGCAATAACGTGTGCAGGAGGACCTCTGCGCCCTTCCCTGTGGCACACAATGGAGCAGTGCCTTGCCATGCACTCCCTGCTCCAGCACTGTTACGTGGGGGCACAGGCTACCAGAATACTTGCTATCAAAGCACAGTATTTTTTGAAGTGATGTAGTTTTAATGAGAAGTTATCCATGCAAATATAATAACTGGACAGTGTTTTACATTGAAATGCCACGAACATCAGTGGTGTATCCAGCTATGCGCTTAAACAGTCAAAGTTTATCTACTGATTACCCAAATATTATGCTTTTGAGAGATGTAATTACAGTCCCTCTACACGTGTGATGGCTTAAATTTACTTCCAGTTCATACTGTATCATTAGTCCACCCACTTGTCATACAGACATCTAAAAATAATAAGAATAATAAAGATCAATTTGACAATGATAATTTTAATACAGTCTTGGCCTTTCAATTAAAAGTGAATAGGTACGGAGAATGTAGATAATTACAGTACATCCCCTCTGGCACAAAGACTCTGTAAAAAAAAAAACCAGTCAGCCTGATTCACATGCTGGCTTCTGCTTCTGTAAGCAGGCAGACCACAGGTTGCCAAAGGCTTTTGTGGTATCGAGTCAGTGACAATAATTCAGGAGGTAAAAAATGACCCTGTCAGGTAGCAAAGTTTTCTTACAACTCCTGATTCCCTGTATTTCACATATGCATCTGTGATCTTCACATTATCTTTCTGAGCTCTTGTACAATAGCATGAATATCACAGATTATGTATTAATATATAAAGGGATACATACATAATTGATATATAAAAGGATACACATTCATATTCTTTATGCAAAGCTTCAGACACAGCTGCTGAGAACAGAACAACATAAAATTTCACCTAGTCAGTGGTGTGCATTGAAAGCCTGAAGGGCTGACTGGGCTTCTTGGGGGCAGACCAATCCTGAATTGCAATGATGAATTAAAGCAATGGAATCGTTCTCAGGCTTTGACATTTACAGGCAGAAAATAGAGGTAAAAGAGGAGACTAAATAGATAAAACATCTATCTTTGCAGCTAACTCTATAAATTTCCCTAGTACCACTGATACTAAATAGAGAACTGGGAGTGGGAAGCAGTGGAAGGGAGGCAAAACTCTCTACCCATTAATATAATATGCACTCTTTACTGTTTGAATGTTTGGAATTGCGGTTATAATTTGGATTTAATAACATAATATAATTTGGATGCCTCTTTTGAAAGATCTTACTGAGTAGTTTTCATCCTTTAGTTGTAAGGGCATGAAATTGTTTGGGATGATGCCATTATTTTAAAAAGTGGCACTATTTTTGTCTTGGTTTTGTCATATGGGGGGTACTGGTGGATGAAAAGCTGGAAATGAGCTGCCAATGTACTTTCACAGCCCAGAAAGCCAGCTGTATCCTGGGCTGCATCAAGAGAAGCTTGGCCAGCAGGTCGAGGGAGGTGATTCTGCCCCTTTGCTGTGCTCTGGTGAGACCCCACCTGCAGTACTGTGTCCAGTTCTGGGGTCCTCAGCGCATGAAAGACATGGACCTGCTGGAGCAGGTCCAGAGGAGGGCCACAAAAACTATTAGAGGGGTAGAACACCTCTCCTATGAGGAAAGGCTGAGAGAGTTGGGGTTGTTCAGCCTGGAGAAGAGAAGGCTCCACAGAGACCTTATTGCAGCCTTTCAGTACTTAAAGGGGGCTTATAAGAAAGACAGAGAGAGACTTTTTGGTAGGGCCAGTACCAATAGGACAAGGGGTAATGGTTTTAAACTAACAGAGGGTAGATTCAGACTAGATATAAGGAAGAAATGTTTTACAATGAGGGTGGTGAAACACTGGAACAGGTTGCCCAGAGAGGTGGTGGTGGATGCCCCATCTCTGGAAACATTCAAGGCCAGGTTGTGTGGGGCTCTGAGCAACGTGATCTAGTGGAAGATGTCCCTGCTCATTGCAGGGGGGTTGGACTAGATGACCTTTAAAGTTCCCTTCCAACCCAAACTATTCTACAATTCCATAACTCTAGAATTAGTGCTTGCAAAACGCACTAGGAGTAGCCTACGAAATGGTCCCGTGTTTTGAGATATGACTAAGCAGCAGGAACATGAACTGACCAGCTTTCCACCAGTGGACTGCAGATCTGATTCACACTTGTGCTCCCCAGTTTTTTAAGCTGAGGATCAAATACACTCCAGGGACACACTACCTGGACATGTATACAAGATTCACTTCAAAGGAAACTTGAGCAAAAAGATGAAGAGCAGATAGCCTTGTCTTTCTCTCAGAGTCAAGATGGGGCAGAGGTATATTCAACAACTACTTTTGAAGGAAATCAGATTTGTCCTAGGTTGTATTTGAAGGTTTTAATTATCTGAGCATCTTCCTGCAGCAGTTTGCATATACACCATAAAGGCCAGATGGAGTTTACTGAACACAGATGATTACACTTCACAAAATAGTTTCTTTCCATCTGATTTCACTACCTAAATGTAAATAGGCAGGTAGGCTTAGAAAATAGGTGGCAGAAGGAGAGGAAGAAAAAAAAAATCAACACTGCAGTTGGCCATAGGAAATTCACATGTAACACTGGCCAGAAACACCGACGCCTTGGTTTGTCCTAGACACCCGCAGATATAAGTCACTGATGTACTCTCCATTTTCAGGGAAGTGTGCTTCCCTTATAAAGCTGTGTGCTATGCAGTTTGATGGGGAGCTAATTTTTCCTCCCTATACAACCTTTTCATCTAAGTTAACTAGGACTTAAAGGTATCTTCTGCTCTTAATGCGAGTACACAAAATGCCATTACTAAATTATAGATTAGTTTGCATGCCCAGATGATTTTTGGAATAAGACAATTGAACTTCAAAACCTGGCAGAGGTATGTGTCTAAGCAGAAGAGCACGAGCCAACCATGCTGGGGGTGGGAAGAGGAATAGAGACTTCTCATCCGTGGAGATATTAACAGAAAGGGCATGTGTAAGAATAATGAGACAAATATGCTATGCTTGGTGCTGGGGATTAGTATCTCGTTTTGGGCTTCACGTTTAAGGAAAATGTAGTTAAGTTGAAAAGAATCTGAAGGAGACTAGCGATAACAGTAAGTTTGGAAAAATTGCTTAAAAAATAAAAGAATGGAGGGATGCGCGTGAAGATGACAGCAATCTCCATGCATGTAAGCAGCTGCTTTAAAGGGGAGATAGATCACCTGCCTATGGGAAGTGGTGTTGGGACACAGAGTAATTGCCTTAGCTTGCAAAAGTACATCCTGGGGGAGGCAGGTTAAATATGAGACTAGATAAATACTATACCTAAAACTGTTTACCTCAGGGACAGTAACACCCATTACTTTCACAGGAGTTTTTAAGAAGAGGGCAGACAAGCATATCTGACATGGCAATACACCTCTGGCTGAACTACAGACAATTTGCTCTCGAGGAACTCTTGCATTATATTAATATTTACTTATGAATGCTGAACCTATACTGAGCATGAAAACTGCTTTCTCCTACTAATGTCTCTTTACATTAACTATGAGAGATCTCTGCAGACAGTTTTCTGAAGTGGTATATACTGCATATTTCTAACAACATGCCAAAGCTTATCAGAGGTCAAAGAAAGCACTGAAAGGTCAAGTGAAAAATAGAGTCTTTATGCCTGGTAAGTTATGAAGGTACGATTGATAAATACATATCTATTAATGTATGTGTATATAATGTATATATAATGTTTAAGAAAACAGCTAGGTTTTCTTTACTCATTTGTCACATGTTATTTTATTTCAATCAAGAAGAAGATAGCATGCACAACTACCACAATAATTAATTGCTCCTGTCAGTGATCAGGAATGAAGGAAGCCCTAGAAAACCCACATTAAGATTTTGCTGTTACATTCTACTCTAATCGGGTTTGTACAGTGAAGTGGCGACGATTACTAGGCATCACTGCAAATTTCACCTAAGATACGGGATATGAATGCCATTTTTTCTGAAGTTAATAAAATCCACTTGCAATAGGATCAAAGTCAACAACCAGACATCCCAGTGTAATAACTACATACACAAAGCTAAATATATGCCTTCAAGGTTTCCACAATAAAACAGAAGTCTTATTCAACTGAGAACAAGATGTGCAGCAAAGCTGTATTTAGAAGACACTGTGGCTTTGCTAAGGCTCTAAGTCAACAGTGTAGCTTCCAGGTACACTTTTCAAGCAGGATGAAATCCAGAAAAGAAACAAGCAGCAGCTGACACTATGGGCAGTCCCCAATCTGCTAAAAGCTTCTCTATCTCAGGACAAAACAGTCAGAAGTAAGTCTCCTCCTTGATATCATTACATCTCCAAAAGACAGGTACCACTTTGTATATATGATGTAAGAAGGAGAAAGTACAGGAGGCTTATTACATTATTAAGCAAGATATCTTTTTTTGTTGTTTTACTCAAGTTTTTACTCAGTTAAGGGTACAACAGCAGGTATAACTGATACACCCTTGCAGAACAGTGATATTGGTATGCTCCACTCAGACAAATTATTGCTGGGTAGGATTTTTTTTAGCGGGTGGGAGCTAAATCAGCAGTGTAACAAAACCTGCTCAAGGCACACATGAAGTCTTACGTTATTGTGTGCCAAATCAACTGAGGCCTTAATTGTGGTATTCACTCCTTTACACACCCAGCAGAAAGAAACTGAACCATGAATTTTGCATACTTTAAGAAAAATAATCTACCAACAGAAACCATATTTTTTTGCCTTTTATCTTCTCTGAGACATGGATTAAAAAATAGCTGTGATAAGCATATGGTTTATTGAACATGTCTGGGCATGCAAGACTGGATGGTCTCTGCAATACAGAGTATAAGCCTTAGGGACTCCCTCAGATTTCAGTTTAACTTTGCCACAACCAACAAGAATTTTAAAAGGATAAACAAACACAGAAACTCACCCTTGTGGTGTAAGCAGCTTCTGGGTCATCTTCCAGTACACGAGAGAGACCAAAATCTGAGACTTTGCATACCAAGTTACTATTGATGAGGATATTACGAGCAGCTAGATCTCGATGGACGTAACCCATATCTGACAAATATTTCATGCCAGATGCGATCCCTCGAAGCATGCCTACTAGCTGGATGACTGTGAACTGGGCATCATGTTTCTGGAAAACATTTGAAATGAACAATCTCTGAAATGACATGTTCCTCCTTGCACAGAATTTTTGATAAAGACCCTGGAAGCTCCTCAGCTGAACAGCTCGTGAGTCAGGGGTCACGATTTAAATGCCACACATGGAACTACTTTGATCTGCGGAGGATAATCTCCCAATCAGCCAAGGGAAGGCGACAGATTTTCAATTCAGATAAAAATGCATTTTCCCCATCCTTGCTGTCATCAGAATTTTAATTTCCTAGATGGGACCTGTGTGAAAGCAGTACGTAAATCTAAGTTGTGTGTATTCATGAGACTGGAGTGTCAGGACATTAGGGAAAGAGCTGCTCAACTTCCCTGAAAGGCCATAGGAATTGTTAATGAAAATCCCAGCCTGACCCAATGGACTAATGAAAGCTTTCTATTACACAAGCATTTTTTTAACAAAAGCAAATGCTGATCTGATTCAGTGGCTTTCAAATTCCATTAAATTTAAACTCATTCCTCAAAATTTTCAACTTCAGGAACACAAAAATCACCTAAACACATTGTGACTTAGCTTAGAAACGAATAGTTGCATATATTTCTAATTGTCTACTTCTAGACACATGTTTCAAATCTCCCAGCTCTTACTAGTGCTGTTTGTTAACATCTAGCTTTGATATTGATAAACGGATACATAGAGGACAGGACAACAGGACGTCCTAGTGCTGCTCTCAAATGGATCCCCCAGTGCTGTAAATGTATCATCATGGGCAGCTCTCCAGCTCTTCCTGCTGCTTCTTCCAGAATTTTATTAAATACATGGGAGCTGGCTCTGCCATGTGGGGTGAGCTCACATGAATCAGTCTGCAAGACTGATTGCATTCATTTCATTTTTGATTAATATACTTAGGGGCAATATTAGCACTGTAAACATGAGACAAATATATGTCACAGTGGATGCTTAAATAGCCTCTCAGTATTCCCCCTCACGAAGAAATTCATTATTACGGAAGACCCTCAACAGTTCCCTGTTATGAAACCTTCTTTAACTAGACCCAACACAAGAGGATCTATATAGACCCTGCAAAAGATTTAGCTAGAAATCAGAAGGTTTCTAACCATGAAAGGAATGAGACATTCAGAGCCTTTCAATGGCAATGGGGAAAGGAAACTAACTAGTTTTAAAAGACATTTATAAAAAGGGTTACATGGCCTGAGTTGCCTGTGATATTAATGAGTCACAAGGTTCTTATCTATGTTTCCACAAAACAGTAGTAACCCCCCCCCCCCAAACCCCACACTCAAATGAACGAACAAGCTGAACAACTGTTTTGTACAGTCAGAAATTATTCTCCTTTCCTCAGAGCTTTCTTCAAGGATTTTCAGCCTAAACAATATGTGTATAGTTCAGTACAGATATATTTCATTCAGAAATACTGACACATTATTTATACATACTTTACATGCTCCAGTGAACATCATAACATATATAGTACATACTGAAACCAAGGTTGACGATATATCCCTTTTCGGGGTTAAACATCTAGTTGAGTGTTATGAATTTGGGGGATAATGTCATTCAACTGTGGCAGAACCAAAGCAGTCTCCCATCCATGGCTGAGTTTGCCCTAACAAATTAAAATTAAACTAGTGTTTCCCCTCAGATGGGATTTCATTTCTGCTGTACTTCTTGTTTTGCCACAAGTAAATCTTGGTGACACAGGGAGCGTTCACATTTTTTTAGGCTCACTACCAACTTTGACAGAAAACAAAGATAAATCAACAACAGTATTAGTATGTCTAAGATTGGGGAAAGAAAATAGGCCAATAAAGTTTGCTAGCAAAACATTTCAAACACCCTCAGGCATGGGGTTATTCCCTAAACTTTTCATATTTAGGGAAACGGCTCTTGGCTCAATACTATTGGTTTACTGATAAAATTTCCACAAATCTGTTCACTTTTGCAATTGCTTGGTAAGACATACAGGCTGCCAACCAATAAGCACAACTGCGTTACGGTAATAATTCAGCCCTCAGAAAAACAATTTCCATTTTTGTGTGCCAGAATGCTGTTTTGTTTTAGTTTGTTTTTTTTTATTGATGTGACATACTAATAAAACAAAAGTGTTCTTCATTTTGGAATAATACTTGCTGCAAGCAGTCAAAATGGACTAGGAGACACCTACCTGGCTTTCTGAGCACATCACAATGCACACAAACCCGGATGGAAATAATGAAATATCAAGCAACAAGAGCTGATGATGGATTAGCGTACAGTGGCAGCAAATTCATGACAAATTCAGAACAAGAGCCAGTCTTGCACCACGTAGTTCTCTATTGCACTTACCCGTAGGAAGCTGTCCAAGGAACCATTTTCCATATATTCAGTAACAATCATAACTGGTTTACCTGCAAATATATTACAGGGGTCAGGCATTTAAAAGGAATACATAATGATCAGTAAAAACAGGCATTTCAGAAATGTGCCCAAATCTTCCAAATCCCAAGGATAATTTTACATTTAGAAAGAAAGCAAAAGATGCATGGGCAAAACCAGCTCTGTCCACAACATAATTGTGATTTCACTGACATCAACAGAAATAACAGTCATTTCAGCATATACTGATACGATTTTTAACAGCTCAAGTCCCAAGAAACAAAGTGAAGCATCCTGTGCATTCAGTATACGGTGTCTTATCCATCACTGCTGAATATGATCATTCACATAATCGCTGAATTTATGCAATGAAGTAGGTGTATTCTGGCATGTATTTGTCCCCAGGCCCCCTCTGGGAGGGAGCTGCAGTTTCTCTCCAGAGGTGCCCTGGTCTGCACAACGGAGGTGCAAGGACTGTGGAGCGGTGCTCTACCACGTAGGCACAGTCAGTATGTTCCTCAGATACTACGGTAAAGGAGAGATCAAATAGTTTACATGGAGGCAATAGCAAAATCCTCTCCCTCAGGAGGGCATTTACAATGCATTTAAATAGTAGAGCTTCAGTATTTTCCTAGTATAAGCTGAGGAAAACGTTGGGGTGGGGATAGAGATGGAAGGGAAAGTGCAGAATAAAAGTAATACAGGGCATTGGAAAGAGAAGCAGAGCTGTAACACAGCCACCTTCCACTGTTGGGGGTTAGCCCTCTTTCCAGGCAGTCCTGCCTCCCTCTGTGGCGGGATTGCCGATAACACGAACCTCCCCTCCTGCCAAGCACGCCTTAGCTGGGAGCCAAACACGCTGCATCCACGGGGCAGCAGCATGCTCTGAAAAAACAGCCCTGCATCCTTGAAAAGCCTCTAATATCTTTCAAAACTTGTATGTGCAGATTCAGATCAGTTTGTGAAACCATTCTTTCTACCCTAAGGTATTTTTGTAACATAACCAAGATTTCATATGCAACTCTGACATGTTGGAGAGAAATAAATGCAAAAATTAATGTGATGACGGTGAAGTTTCCAGACAAAGGTCATTGCCCTGCTAATATTTTACCATCATATGGATTTTATTATTTCATAATATTTTCTAAAGCTTTGTTTATTTTCTCTTTGTGGTAGAGTGAGAGGTGGGTAAGAGCATGAAGTTATTTAAAGAGATGAATTATTATTTCACATATAATACAGGAAGGCATCTGACCATAAAAGCATGACAAAGGCCTGCATATTGTATAGCAGGCACGGTGATATTTTAGCTTTTAAAATTAAACAGCATGAGGCTTGAAAGAGGTACCCAGTATAATTAAAAGCAAGAAAGCCATTAAAAAAGCAAAGTAAATGGTAACAACTTCTTTTTTTGTTTTTCAGAAAATACAACTTCTACCAAATAGAAATTCTTAGAAGAGAAATATTGATTACAAAGAATGAGTTTAATATAATAAAAAGAAAATCCTTTGTCCTCTTTGCATGGATTAATAGGTTAAAATATTTTCTTTCTGCTGTGCAAATGATGTGTTATACTGTGGGAATCACGCTAATGGGTAATCGACTCTGTCATCCATTAACTAGTAGGAACAAACTCTTTATCCAAAACATTAATCTTGAATTATATAGGATATAGTACAGATAAAAGACCTAATGATGTAAAACCTCAAAATGATTTCTGTTGCTTCCTTACTCTTGTTACCAAGAAATATGCAGTGCAAGGAAAAGTACCTAACTTACACCGTGTGTATAACATTAACCAAAGGCATTTCTGATAATACGGAGAAAACGCTGCTGGATCTTTCAAGTAAAGGGCAGCACACCAGTAGGGCTATCCAAAAATTTCTACAATAAATCCACGTACTTTGAAACCAGGAGACAGTTGCCTGGTTTCTGTATAAACTCAGTCAAATTTATGACACATCAGAAGACTGAAATTAGAGTAAGAAGATATGTTTTTCAAATTATTGAGAGCATCTTCCTGCCTTGCTCACCCATACGCAGAAATCCCCAAGTGCAGGGTTTCATTCTTGTTCAGTTGGAAATATGTCCATAATAAGAAGCATATGCTCTGAAGCAACACGGTGCACTTTTAAAAGAACATTCTGCATTCATTTATCAAAGCACAGCCGTTTATACACGATAACAACTTGTGTCAACAGTGTTGCCGAAATTTATTATACTAACAGGCTACAAATTGCTGTAAATTATTAGTAAACTAGGCAGAACATGTGCGCTGGTTATTAAGACTACTGCCTACAGCGTGCCCAGGAGACCGGTGTCGCGGCAGGAAAAGGCAGAACAGAAATCAATGTGAAGCAGGGCAACAACTGTGCGCTGGAGCAAAGGACTGAAGTCTTATCTGGTGGGTGCACCTCCTTCGTACTGCCAGTGGGTTGTCCCACTGGCAAACCAGAGCCACCCCAGCTTGAGAACCTCTCATACCAAATGGTCCTGTTGTAGGGATTGTGACAACTGCAGTTATTAGGAGTTGCTTCAGAGATCTGCTTAGTATGAAAAGCTAGATCATAGCTAAGGGCCGCCTGTCAAAAAGAATTTGGTTAATGAAGAAAAGATTGTATTGCCTGTTTATCATGCATTACCTGTACTGAGAGTGATCCAGCAAATACTCCACGGGCTCTCTACTGACTGTACATAAACTAACGCTTTTGAGTGTGATTTAATAGCTATCATTAAAAAATATGAGCACTTGCTAATTTGTTATTACACTATATTGGTTTGGTTTAAAAAAACCCAAACCCCACAGCCTTCTTGTCCTTCTATCACCCTACAGAATGTTAAAGAAATTAAATTATTATCTTTACTTGCATTTATGCCATATAATTTTACCCAGTAAAATGGATACAAATAGGTTCAGAGCAGTTTTCTCAACTCTTGTATTCAAGCTATCTGGAGAGGGTGTTGTATCCCTGAGGCTTTTATTGACTTCAGCTGGGAATATTCAGAGCTTGCTCTCTCATACCGTGATAGGCAGCTGGCACTCCCAACCCCCCCGAAACAGACAGCAGTCTGCTGTGAATACAGCTGAGTAGCAAACTTACTAATAGTCACTTATACAGAATACAGACAGAATTAGTAATGCACATTCAAAAGCAATGCACAAATTCCTGTGTGCACAGCAATTAAATTATTTTCTCAAGTGCCACAGGAATACAAAATGTAACAAAATAGATTTTAGCTCAGCTGTGTACAGACTGATGCTGGTGTTTCAAGTAATTTTGGGACTGCAAATCTTACTCTGAATGTACAGAGTGTGTGTCATTAAAAAGCAAGAGATAACTTGGATTTATACAGGCAGACCTGGCAGCCCTTTCCTAATGGGACTGCGAGACCTAAGCTGAAGAATAACTTCTTTGTTATTTAAATCAGCAAAACAGACTTTCATGAATCACACCTAGAGAAAGCATTATTATTGTAATTATGTCTCTTCATAACATACAGGGTTTTACATACCTTTCACTAGTTATTTTTAGACACATTCTTGTGGTTTTTGTATTTCATATAATTTGTTGCAGTAAGCTATGAAATTCTTTCATACTTCTCTATGTTTGTGAAACCTTGAATCACACAATTTTTAAAAAAGATTCCTTAAAACCATCTACTTAACAGCAATGTATTCGGTATACTTCTACCCAGTTAAACTGGAAATGTCCTCAGCACATTCCAAGCAGTTCACTGAAATGGCAAGGAGCTGCTTTGCCAGCAGTGCTCTAGGATGAACTAGGAAATACCCTACCAATTTTTTCGACTCCCCTGAAAAATCTCAGAGCATTCCTGAAATATTTTCAAGAATACTTCATATAAAATCTTGTTGATCTCCCACTTAATAACTACTCATTAAATTTATCACCTTATGCTGCAATGGCAATTTAGGAAGTGTAGCTGAAGTCTCTGAATTTACGTCTTGCAGAACAAGCCAGTTTTGGTACTTCATGCAACCTCTCTCTTCTACTACCAACTATTTCTGCCTTTCTACCTCAAGGTAGAGGACAATCAGCAGCACAAGCAATGAAAGCCAGAACTTGCCTAAATGAGGCAGCATCACCAGCACCAAATCCCATCAGCTGCTCATAAGGAGAAGAGCATGCAGGATCTGGGTGGTTTTGAGGAGGCTACCGTGGCTGCCACGGGAAAGATGGGTAGGAGCTCTAAAAGTGACACCACCGTTCAGGAATGCCTGTTACAACTTGCTGTTATCTTAACAAAAGTGGAGCTGGAGAGGGTTCTTCAAATATGTTACTTTTCCAGGAAGGTACCGCATGTGGATGGAGGTTTCAATTACTTTTTTTGTCTCAAAAAGAGAAGGTGATTTATTATCATGAACATAGACAAAAATATGCTTTAACAAAAAAAAAAAACAACCCAAAAACCAAACCCATAACAAAAACACGCAAAGGCAGACTTAGCAAATGTTGATTAGTAAATATATATTATCAAAGAAATAAAATCAATTTTACTACTGACAGCTTAAAGCCCCCAATTTTTATTTTTGAGATTTTTACTAAGAGGTATAAATTCTGGAGGATCAGGATCTTTAAAATGCCTCATACTGGTACATACTGAATATCACATGGAATATTTTCCCTGCACAAAAACCATGTAGGAGAAAATTTGGACTTATTAATTTACTCGTATCAGTTGCTGTAGCCAGGTAGGTTGTTCATTAATTTGTGCTAATAATAAAATCTGATGATTTACTTGAAAGCAGAACATACTGCTTCAGTGCAATTAGGAAACCTTATGACATCAGACTCCATGACTCCTAACAGATTATCAGGAAGTGCCTCCTGGCCACTTGGTAGCAATTTGTAGCTCTGGAGTTTATTAAAACTTCCAGTTTATTACTGAGCTGCAGTGTCCTTCAGAAATGCTCCTTTTTCTCCATGTTCTCTGTATTTTTTTCAAGCATACTATTTTTATTCCCCACTTTTTCCCAGCTCATCAACCCAGGGTCTTGTTTCTAAGTTCTCAGCAGCCTGAGAGCAGCAAGACAGTGAAGGTCCTGCAGCTGCACTGCGGGCAATTGCCTCCGACACCATTCTTCATTGGATCCATCAGCATGGGTTTAGCTGGTGCTTTCACATGGGTAACTTTTTTCCTGCTTTTGAGGAAATACAATATACATTGCAAAAGCCAAGCTATGTGTTTCTGCTGTTTCACTTTTGAAGGATATTTGGTACATATTGACAGGGTTGTAACATAAACATTTCTGGAAGGGTTTGCGGAGTGTAAACATGGATGGTTCAGTTTTTTTACTTGCTTTTGCTCTTCCTTGAAAGATCAGCAAATATCGCAGAATACTTGAGGTTGGAAGGGACACTTCCGCTGACACTTCCCATGCAAAACAGATGCCCCCGTCATATCTTACTTTTAGTGACGACTCCCTCTAATCGAATGATATTAGGGTGGTCAAACTGTCCCATGATGCTTGCTTCTCCCAGGAAGTCCCTTCTCTGTTTTTCTGTGTAGCCAACTTTCAGGGTTTTGATAGCCACTGAAATTTCCTTTTTAGACGGCAGCTTTAGGCGCCCACTGCACACTTCTCCAAATTCCCCTAAAAAAGTGGAAAAATGACAAAAGACGAAATGTAGTTATTTCACAGGGATTTAAGAAAGAAGACTTAGCGTTCAGCAAAAGTCCCTGAAGTGTGATGTTTACTGGTGGGCCACAGACCGGAGCTCCAAAGGAGGCCTTCAGACAACTACTTAACATTTCCATGCTTGGGTTCTCCAGCTGTCAAATTGGACAATGTCCCTTATTTACACTGCATATCCAGATGACTGCAGAGCAGAGGAATGCATAAATGTCACCAGAAAATCCCCTTTTTGTTTCAGTTGTTGCACTTTGAGACAATAGTAGGAGGGCTAACTGATTAACACAGAAGTATCAGAATAGTCATGCATCCTTGTGAACATTATACTCTTCATTTCTACCAGACATAGTCCAATTCCCAATTATTTTACTTATTTCAATTAAAGTAGCAAGATAATTCTTAACAAAAGAATTTATCTACACAGCTACAAAGAAAAAAGAAAGCCATACAGATTGTCTTTGTTCAATCATTATTCAGATTGATCTAATCATGCAAATATATACTGTCACTATGGGGCTATGGAACCTGATAGTCCACCATTAATATTTTGCCCACCGTATATTGTCTGAGATCCCTAAACAGGAAACAGCAGATATCACTGCATGTTTACTTTTATACAATGTGGTTTTTCCTTTGCTATGTAACATCCAAGAAGAGTGCACAGGGAAGATTATCTTAGCATTCAAATGAGCAAGTATTAAATATGTTGAAAAATTGCTGGAAGAAAATACTCACTTGAAAATTTCTGTATTTAACTACTGATTACAGAAAGCATATAAGGAAGTTTCAGTATCTTAAAAAACATTTGAGCAGCAACTGACGTTTGATTCTCAGTTATACAACACCCCATCTTAGATTTCATATGATATAATAAACTGCACTTACAACATGCCAGTTAAAATTACAGTAGCAACTTTTTGTCTCCTTGTTTTAATGACAAAATAATTGAAATAATGAAAAATACAATAAAAACAGAGAATGGATAAAATATACAAAAAACATGATGACAAGAATTGCACTATATGATTATTTATATTTAGAGACAAGGAAAAAACTTTACTGAACAGAGAAGAAAAGAAAGGTGTTCTGTTTTGTGTTTTGTTGTGTGGGGTTTTTTTCTTTCAAGAAACTAGAGAGTGTTATTGGAGGGCTTTAACACTCTTTTTTCAATAATACATGCCTATTCAGGTTCTTTTGTCAACATACATGAGATCTAAATATAAATAACCCTTCATATCCATATTTTGTCGTGTGGCCTTGTATAGAAAGTTTGACTTGGAAACAAACAAACCCTAAAAATCTAAATCTAGGTGGCATCATTTTTATGCAAACTGGGAATTTTGTTTTTATTTGTGAGTGAAACATCACGGAAAGAGTGATTATACTGCTGACATATGACCTTTTCCCAACTTAACGTGTAATAATCCTAAATGCAATAGCATTACTACGCCTCTAAAGAGCAAAGGCTCTTGGAGCTCACTTGCCCACAATGATTCTTTCTTTATCTCTGCAGCTGATTGTTTACATTAAGCAACATCTGTGAAAACTAAAAATTACCAAACCCCACATATTTTAATAGGCAAATTTAAATCATGTTGCTCTTCATAGATTTAATGCTCAGAAACATGTTATGGATTGACAGCCATTCACCATTGACTTCAGATATGATACCACATGGGATACATTTCAGATGTTACATTCAGCCCATTTATGTGCAAATTGAAATTATTCTTTCATCAACTTGCCACCAGCATGGCGGGCATTAGAGTCCATATCCCACCTGTGGCACTGCAGTTCAGGAATGATAAAGGGAGTAATAACAATGACCAGAATCTTAAAAGTCAGGGTTGTGTGTTCAAGTTCAAAGCTCAAGGATTTGGTGTTATTTATATACAGCAAGGAATGAGAAGAGAGACATGACAATAGTTTTGGCTTATCAAAATTATGGTTATAAATAAGATGGACACCGACTCCATTTTCTATACATAAAAGGCAAACCAAATAGTTGCAAATTACAATAAAGGTCAGATCAGGAAAAAAATTCTAACAGTAAGGACACTTGGACAGTACAAAAGATTTTTTTAGGAAGGCTATAAACTCTTTTATCTTAGAAATTGTAAAGAATAAGCATCTGTCAAGAATGGTACCTAACAAGTTTTGTTTGGGGCAAAGGTGTGGACTGAATGACCTCCAGAGGTCACTTCTCAGCTTTATTTTCTGAAGTTTCTCTTTTAGACAGCCAGTTTAACCAAACAAACTGAACAAATGTGTCATAGGGCAATGACAACCTAGGGTGGAGCCGGAGGGAAGAAGCAGCACCCGAGGGCGAGTGTGTGTGTGAGGAGTCAGAAGGGGCACCCATCGGCTCACTGGAGTCGCCCGCTGTGAAGGGACTCCGGACCCAGCAGTTAAAGCCTGGGGTGGTGCGTGTGCGTGGGTGACTCCTTGATTGGTGCGCGAATGCTCGGGCAGCAGCTTCTCCCTTAACAAGTCATGGTACCGTGCTATTAATTCAATAACTAAAAAAATTAAAAACAGGGTATACCCTTGTATACATATATATTACTAAAATAGCACTTACATTACACCCATTGTTTCTAACATTATTTGTATTTCAGGCTGCCAAGACAGGAAGCAGCTCAGAAAATGAACTGTAAAACCTATTACTAGTAACTAATGGGTGTTGAGTTCCGTTCAGACTTCTCAATTAAAAATATTCAACCTCTGCAAGCCAAAATGACTAGTATACTTTACGAAGCACAAACACGGCTTCAGTTCAAATACTAACCCCAGCTCAATACTGTCAGAGCACCACAAAGAGGAAGACCAAAGCACATCTTGAAAACAGAAGGAAGCAAAAAAAGTGCTTGAACTAAATCTTGTAATGTCCAGCTTTGTATTCCCTTTTCTCTATGTTTTAATGGCCCAAAAAGCTATAACAAGCTAACCTCTTAAAAGTATTGTTCAGTTACTGTCAATGGAGACTATAGCTATGATTTCAGCAAGCAGACCAGCAATCAATCCTTCACTTCTGACCAGAATTGTATATCTGATATTTGTTTGACTTTTGGGAAGGAAAAGGTTATGGGTAATATCCATCAACACAGTCCAATTTAGCCATGGCTGCACAATTTAGAACCTGGGTGATTAATTGGACTCCTCAAGTGCCTTGAGGCCAGTGGATGCTGCAAGAGACTAGAAGTTGGACCCTTTATAGCAATGGAGCTTACTGTTGTCCATGAATATAAAATGGGTTTTCTTGGAAAATGTTTTCACTGGAGAAAGCTCACTGGGCAGCCCAACTATGTTAACCTTTGGTTCTTTCATATACAGGACAGTATGGATGCTACGTAAGTCTATCTGGTCAACACCCATAGTGACATGCAGTTACACTACATCTTTTTCCTGCAGATCATTATTATATGGTCCCAGTAAGAAATGGACTAGATCTCATCATGGATTGTTCAGGAGGAATAAGGACTTGTGTTCAAGTTGGAAGGTGGAAAACCTGGCACTGATTTTAAGAGATGAGGTTGATGGCTTTTCACGTAAAGCCTTTCTGAAGTGTTTATTTTTAATTATGCTACACACATAAACATTGTATAACCTGCCCTGCAGACTGATATGTCTATTTACATGTGGAAAGCAAACAGATACTATTAGGAGGGCTGTTCATGGTATAAAAATCTCTCTTCGGGAGATCTTATCTTAATTTCTTTTTTAAATAGGCTGCTTAGTGCATCAGTGAATGGCATTTGCTGTGCATTTAGACCCAGGGGACAAGTAAAAGATGACTCTGTGAAATTAGCTACTCCCTTTACTTTGCTGTGCTTTAAATCATGATTGTACTGCTGTGCACAGAACTCCCTCGGAGCTGGAGAGGCACCTAAGCTGAATGTTTCATAAACCTCGTGAACCTCTAGCAAGGTTCTACAAGCTCTTACTGAGACACTGCAAACCTTCACAGTAAGTTCATGGAAAGGTAGCCCCTAAATTTTAGAAACACTTTGATCAACAAGATGTTGTGCTACAAGTATGTTTAAACTTTGAAAGAAAAGCAAATGCTTGCTTTCATGTTCAGCAAAGCATATACTTAAATCTACCCCAAAGCAAGAAAGTACTTTCTGTAGCATTCTCTTGCTGTCCAATTGGATTCAAACTTCTTAAGTGGTTTGCTGAACTGGATCCATAAAAACAAGTGAGTTGTTTTAAAAGAAAGAATTACTGTAAAGAAAAATCTGAAAAAGTGGCTCCTGACCTCAATTTTCTTATGCTTAGCCTCCCACTAAAATCCCTTGTGTTTTTCTTGAGGTTCTTTTGGATAAGAGTATTTCCTTATTGCATTTGGGTAGGTTTTCAAAGCTATGTAAACTGCCTTCTATTCTCAGAGACTTCTGGCTAAAGCTGTGAAAAACTACTTGGAAAAGTACCTCCAAATATCAAGATTACTTGCCTGACTTGAAGGTCTCATTACTTACGTCACACTTCAATGCTGTTAAATGAATCCCTTCTTCTCAAATCACAGTCTTTTTATAATTTCGTTCACACTTGCATTTGTAAAGGAGAAGGGCAGGAAAGGACTAAGTCATTCACTCAAATAAGTCATTGACTCAAGTAAGAGACAGGAAATGCCTTTCTGCTTTTAGGGAGGACAGAAGTGTTCCTGCAAAAGCAGCCTCGGAGGCACTCACTCCAAATGCAAAAGCTACCACGTGCTGAACATGACAGCAGTGTAAAGTGATGCTATGAATGCATTTTGGAAGCTCCCAGCACTCTACAGCCTGATTTTCATCTGTTCGTCCCTGTCTGGTTCTTCCTGTTGGCACCTCTGGCAATTGTTAATAGGAAATGCTGACTGTAATGCCGTATGTAGTTTAGGCTACATGAATCTGAGTCATGGCCTCCAACAAATGGCTTTATTATATCTTGAGTCCAAGCTTCAATGTAGAGGACCTGCAGAACCTACTGTCACTTTCACTGATGTGGAGTGGAGCAAAGGGACTTATTTTTAATACCACCTGACTCTTTTAGGACATATTCCTTTTTTGAAGCCTCTCAGAAAACTCTTTCTCCATTTTCAGAGGCCATATTTGGCAAATTTTGGTTTACCTCTCATTGCATTCTGATTAAAAATAGGTCAGAACAACGAGCTATAAAATATGACATATCATTGCTTCTTATGAATTTGTTTTCTAGATTCATATACCGCATAAAGGCCAAGTTTAGAAAGCTTACATTTATGAACGAAGGCCCCTGGAAGTCTTATAAGGAAACATACTGCTCTTGAACTTAGCTTTTCAGTATCCCCCTTCTCTATCCCCATATTAATTCTCCATTATATGCAGTAAGCAGAGCTTTGCTGCCTTGACTGAAGATGATGGAGAACAGTGCACTCTTGTGGGGCAAAATTAAAACCAGCAAGGAACAAGAATTCTACCTTTGCAGATAATAACCTAACTTCATACAAGCAGTTGAGTAGCTGCAGTAAGAGAGGATGAAAACTGTTTCTTTTTACTGGGTGATTCAGGAGATGCACTGAGTACCGTAGCTTGGTTCTACATTTTTTTCCAAATGAAAATCTTTTTCTGTGCACTAGAAGTCTGTCTCTCTCACATCTCATGATTTTAATTCAAATGGTAAATTTAGAGAGAAGCAAAAAATCAATAACAAAAGAACCAGTAATTTTCAATGGATTAAAAATCAATAGTACTCTCACAAATGCTTTAATTTAGCAGGAAAGCTAACACTTCATGATATTCTGACTCGATGAGACAATCTGCCACTTCACTTCAAAGAGCAAGCACACATCCAGTCAGGAACTACATGGTGCATTGCAACACGGACAACTCAGTGAGACGAGACTTTCTGTAATCTGGCTCCTCTGCTACAAAATCTGTTCATTTCAACAGTTTGTCTTCTGTAAACCCAACAATCTATGGCGTCTGTATGGCTCATACAATCAGTTATCAGACAGACAACCCCTTCCTCCTAAATCGATAATTCAAATCCAAAGCAGTGACCAAAATCAATCCGATGACCAAAGGTCATTGCAGTCTGATGGATGCGTGGTGACTGGTATGAAATGAGTTTGTGGTTTCACTCAAGGCATAATAATCAACAGTCCTTTTAAGGGAAAAAAAGAAAACATCTTCACAGTTGATACCATTCTCTGTGCTGACAGATTTTAAAGAGGAACATAGAAGTGAAGCTGAACTCTCTTTTCACTCCCAGCAGTGCTGTGTCCAAGTGTGGGCTAATGGGTGTCCTTTGAAAAACTGTCTTGCGATCTGCTTTCTTTGGGGAAAAAAAATGGAACCGTGTGGCCCTTAACTTTTCATATGCACTGAAGTCAGCTGTAAATATGACCTACTGATTTGAAGACTTTAGAACATTTTCTTTCCAGTCACAAGTATAAACCCAAAGATGTGAAACAGCATACAGCAAAAAACTACCTTTAGTTCAATATATCTGATGGTCATTACCTGCTCCAACCACTTTATCGATGGATATATTAGAAGCATCTAGTTCCTTGGCAAACTCATGCACAGCTTGATTGGGATCCTCATATGTATGTGGATCTACGTAAGTTCTCAGGCCTGGGAGTTTTACTGTGTAGAAACAAATTCAGAGAGAAAATGTTACTTAGACTTAATTAATGCTTCTAAAGAAAGCTCATGAGACAATAGAAACCAATTCAATAGATGAAAAAGGTATACTGCTTCTTCAAATCAACTGCTTTTGACGGGTCTTCAGGAATCTTAACATAGAGTGAAACCAGAGACATTAATGTAGTTATTGCACAGAAGTCTGAAAACCAATTTTAAAAATATCTGCACTTGCCATATTTAACAACTTTTCAAACATTAAAATACTACCCACCCCTCCCAGCTTCCTGCCTTATATCGTGCCTTTCAAGATCACAACAAAGAGGCAAGGAATAAAATGTGTGATGCTACAGTCAACCTGAAAAGTTCTTAGGAATATATTAAGGAGAGCACATTAACTCAAACTTTTTCTTTCCGAGTCCTCCAACAAGATGCATAAGAAAAAATTATACATGAACAAATGCACCTCTGCCTCAATCCCTCTCCTAGTACGTACAAGGATGGCAGCCAGTTGTTCTTAATATTAGTCTGGTTCTAGTGCTCAGTTACCCTAACATCCATGCCATTATTTTATCCCCCTCTACAGTTTCCTGGCCAGGGATTGTTCTGTTTTTCCAGGGCAAGCACTAGTTCAAATGACTGAATGATTTTAAGGGCAGTTTCAAGCTCTCCACATCTTTTCCTCCAGCAGGACTAGGGGTGGGAAGAACATATTATCATTCCCAGCCTTTCTCTCCAGCAAAGATGCTGAAGGCAAAGCATAGCCTTATTCCCCTTTCCCAGCTCAAGGCTCTGCTTGCTTGTGCTTGCACCCGGTACCTTGCATGCATGCCTGCCTCTGTATTAATTCTAGAACACAAAGATGTTTTGTTAACAAAAAGTGAAATAACCGTTACATCCAGCTTGAAGTTTTCTGCTTCTGACACAAAACTTGCATTCCTGGACATGTATTCTAGCTTCTCCTAACTGTACCAGTCAGTCTTGTAAAAAATGCTAGCTCCTCCTACAAACACTGCCTTAACCCACTCAGGAATATCCTTTCCAGCTTGGCATTATTATACTGCATCAATTTGTTGACTGCTAGAATAGTTAAACCTTTTTTGCTGGGGTTACACAGATGGGAAAAAATACCTTTGGACCATTAGTTAGAGCACACCATTGTTTTGTCAAACAATCCCAAGTGTACATGGAAAAAAAAAATCAATTTTATGGAGATTTATTGGCCTCAGAATTGACAAAGAAATGATAAAACTGAGTTCCCAAGCTAATTGCCTCGAAAACAATGCAAACTAAGAGCCATGCTCTTAACACAAGGGCTGCGTGTGCACAGCATTAAATGCCGACTGTTTCCTTCAAGAGCCCGATGATTACAGAATTACTTGCAAGTAAAACAAAAAGTAATTGGCTGTATATTGCTGTTGGTTAAAAATCTTGTAAATTCTCCTTTCCGTCCATGCTGAATGTACATTACAGGCTCCCTCATACCCCCAATAAAAATAACAATTAAAAGCTTCTGCACTGTGGGGTTTTTGGCTGCAGATTTTTAATGCTGACCCCAGAGGTTCCCAAGATCAGGTGATGGTGACTGCAAGGAGAATAATCCCTTCACACCAATAATTAAGGGCAGCCTGTATAGTAACTGGGTTCTGTCATGAAAAACAGATAATAAACACATGCACATGTGTTAAGCTGTACTACTTTACAGCTCATTCTGTGCAAACATAATAATTTACATTTTCATTTTAACAGCATGAATTGCCCTCAAGGTAGCAAAAAAATAAAAAGGGCCTAGCCGAAGAAGGCAAAGGGAGAGGATCTGAGGAGGTGAAACATTTTTGGTCCTTTGAAGTAATATTATAGGATTTGTAATAAGGCTGCAGGGAATAGTTCATGGCTGAAGCCTTTTTTAAAGTAATTCAGAATAAACTGACTGAAATAAACCAGCTGCTGTATTTAAGATGCTGAAAGTTTACGACAGCCATGGAAGTTACTTTATCTTTTTTTAGTTCATAGGAGCAATTTTCTTATTCGTTGAGAAAGACTGTAAGTTAGTAGAATAAAGTTTCCACAGCCACACACATACATGCATACAAATCCACACAGATAAATATCTACAAAATCAAGAAATCATTTTCAAGAATTTCTAACAGAAGTACCAGGTCCATGGTTGGCTCTGTTCTTACTACACAGTGAATCAGCATGGCACTACTCAGAAAACAGTACATAAATATCTAAAGCCAAATTAAAAGCAATTTAATCCACAGGAATTTAACAGCACTGACATGTTTAAGAATAGCGATTGCAACTTTCCTTTGTGTGGGAGTAAGGAGAGCAAATTTTGCCCTGTTATTTGTCTGTGACACTTTTTTTACTGGCTGCTTTTATTTTATAACCTCATTAAATTTGGATGATGAAGCATTAATTCTATGGGCCACATGTAACCGTACAGATTTTTTGAGACTAGTTGGTTAGTGGTTGTTGGGCTGCACGAAGCAAACCCACTGTTACAGCTTGTGTATCCCCTGACAGTGCAGGGGAAGGAGCACACGTGTTGTGGATATGCATGCTCACGGCTCTCTGCAGCTAAGGAGGAGCTCCAAACTTAAAATAATAATAATATGAACAGTCAGAGAACAGTCACTCCATTGTCATGGGGATTAGGAAGCAGTTCTAATTTCCAACTACTGCAGGTAAATCCTCATTAAAATGTTAATTCAATTCTATTTGGTGGGGAGGCACCTGATTATGGTACCAACAACTCTTCTCTTGCAGATGGTACAGCGCCAGCGTTGTGTGCAAAAAACCCATGTACATTAGACTTACAACATGCTAAGCAATAGAAATATATGGTTCAACACGGTTTACATGGTGTAGCAGGATATTTATCTGGAGCTGAAACAGCTTCAGAGACAAACTATTGCTTCTTTTTAAAAACATGCTCACTAGACACCAAGAATTCTGTGGGTGGAAAAAAGGAATTTCCAGTCTCGGTGTTTATAAAGGGTGTTATCTTCGTCCTGTAAGGATGAAAAAAAATCCAAAATGCGCTGATAAAAACCCAAGAACGCCCCCCCTACTTCTGATCATGAATGTTAAACTATCACCTTCCTCTCCTCTCAGCTTCTCCTGCTCCAAAACTAATTTATTTCTATTTTAAAGAGGGTATGGATGGAGCTTTGACCGTGATCAAGTCTTCCTGATCCACAGCTCCTCTGCTGTGGAAAAGTGCTGCAGGGTTATGCACCCTGCAGAGAGGATCCAGGATCTGAGAGGAGCTGAAATACTTCAGGAAGACATTCTCCTCCAGCCATGGGTCATAGCAAGCTACTTCTTCCTGGTAGCCAGAACACAAGCCCAGGCTCAGAAAATCAACACTTCTTCCCCTGAGCATCTCCTGGATGGGATCTTGCTCCACACTGCTCCTTTCACAGGGCACAGCCTAATGACCCACAGTAGCCATGAATAAAGTCCCATTAAGCCTTATTAAAAACAGTATGCAAACATCAGAAATAGACAGGCTTTTGGTTTGGCTTTTGAACATGTTTCAAAAGTAGCCCAGATTCCTCAGGATAAGCAAAATCTCACATTCTTAACTATATACAATTTTTGTGGTACAAAGACAACGTAAGTCATTAGAAAGGCTCTCTTCTTCGTCCTCGAGGAGGCCCAAAGAAAGCACAGACATATTCATTCTTACAAGTGGGGAATCAGGACTTCAACAAAACATGTTTGTAAACAGAGCTGGATCTAAAAATCTCATTAATTTGAGAGACACTTGTTTAGTAGTTATTCTTAATTTAAGAAACTACTCCAAATCACTTTTCAGCCTATGCTTAGACTAATTCCAAGCTAAATTGTTAGTGGGTCAACTCTGTTAAGCAAGCAATTTTCACAGTCCTTCCAGTAGTCATCAAGACAGATTTCATTGATTTTATATTTTGCTTTGGGAAAAAAAAAAAGTAATTTCTTAGACTTTAAACAGCTGGTAATGAGGAAGTTGAAGTTACACTCTGCATTTCAGTAATGCACAGCAGAATCAATATCATATTGCTAACCACACGCATTGTTTGAACATAGACGGCAATGTTTTGCTCATTACTAACCTGAACACAGATGAAAGAATTTGAAACAAAGAATAATTGTTTGGGGAAAATCTCCTTACCCACAAGAGAAGAGATAATTCTCTTCCCAATTTCACCTTGGTTTAAGTGAGGTATGACTTTTGGGTTTTTTTTAAATTGAAAAATACCAGTTATCTAGGGAATGAATTCAACAGATCTGGAAGCATTAAAAGGCTTCAGTAACTTACAATGGCCATTCCCAAAATGTAGTCTTTTCTCATCAGTGCCATGTTTAGACTTCTTGTATCCACAGAATCTACAAGCAACAGAGAAAAAAAAATTAATATAGAGAATTTTATATGTTAGCTGCAGGTGGAAACAGAATAAAATGTTTTCCCTCCACAATTAAATGCCTGTTTGAAAGTTTAATGATATTTACATTCTCTGTGCCCTATAGAGGCATGTTATGTTCTCAGGGAATTTGAGGAAATTGGCTAATGAGAGGATTTGTTGATTTTTGACCCCTACAGTTTAATTTTACAATTGCCTAAGAATGTGTTTATAGCATTTTTTAACAACTGCTGCATGACTGGGGCTGCTAACGTTCGCGGGCTCATTACCGAGTATGAAGCAGTATTCGGAGCTCCTGGGCAGCAGACAAAGGAGAAGGCGCAAACCAGCCATGCTACTGCCTGACGACACCCAATTTGCCATGCTCATCAAGGCCCCTCGGGGAAATGGAAGTGGGAGTAAATGTGCAAAACCGATGATAAACTAACCTCCCAATCAAGACGTACACCACAACTGTGAGGAGAATAATGGCTACTGCCGCTGAAATAGCAATCATTACGACCTGGCTATTCTCACTGGAAATGGAGAATGCTGGAAAGTTAACACAAAAATATATAAATAACGCCCCCCACACATAACATTGATTACATCACAATCGACACTCACACAGGGAACAGACAGATTAAGTCATCACTACACAGCATTTGGTCTCCTGCCAAATATTTTATCTACTAAGTAGTTTTTCATCAGAGAAATACATACAAGGGAAGAGAACAAAAGACTCTGGCCATCTTTGACAATTTACCAAAGTTGTTTCTGCTACTGCTGATTTTTACTCTTGCTGATTACAGTAACTGCTGTTAAACTGATACTTACATATAAACATATATGTAAATACAAACATACATACCATGACATACATATTATTTGTCATGGTCAGTAAGGAATTCTTCCTTGGCAAGCAATCCCAGCCAGTCAGTAATCATCACCCTTACTCTCGCTTCTGTGTGATGGGAAGTGCTTTAATGAATTCAGCTTCCCAGTTAAGCTTGACGGTATCCCCGTGAAGGTTGTGAAAAGCGGGACACACAGAAGCAGATAGGACTATCCATGGTTAATCGATGTCTATAGGAAAAAGAAGGGCTATTTTCTGCCTTATGTTGGATGCTTCCTTGCGGTCCCTAAGCATGGAGCTTTGGTGCACTAGACTGCTATACTATGACAGGACACCTTTAGACCTTAGGCGTTATGAACAATCTTCAGCAGACATCTGTCGAACTTCACCAAGCACGGCAGAATGAGGCTCCTCAGCACTACGCTTCAAGTTAGCTGTCCAAACTGAGCTGAAAGCTAGCGCTCCTGCTCTCCACAAATTAGACAGTTTGTGTACATGCCTGCTTGGAGTCACACCATTCCCCTTGGGAAGAAGCCTCTGCCTATTACAGACCTACAATTGCACTCGCGTAGTTATGGTATCTTGGCAATAAGAACAAAGTTATGTGATTTGTTCTCTGTATAACGTGTACGCTCGTTATCGAGATGTGCACCACTGTCTCCTGTCACCTTCCACACTTTCGGACAGCTACTTTTTTTTTTTTTCTTTGATAGTACTTTGCAGAGAAAACTCATTAACCTCTAAATTATTAAATTTGTTATCACTCCAACTGTTTTTTTCTCCTTGCTGTCCTTGTTTGTCCTGTCTTTAGTTGGAGTTTCATCCAGTATGCCAAAGCTGCATGTCACCACAACAGCGATTTATAACTATTTTTTTAAACAAGAAGCTTGTTTGCTTTTCAGAATAAGAGCTGAGGTGGGGGAGGAAGGAGGAGGGATGAAGTACATAACATATCGCAAAAAGACATGGATGCCAAGTGAAACACCATTTGGCTTGATGCTACTCTTTTTGGTTGAAAATTGGTTGCTTTTAGCAGAGCACTTCTTACACCATGGGTTCTCAAGCCTTATCATGAATACAGGAATAAGCTTTATGAGAGAGTATCAGAATTATAGTCCTTAGTTGTGTTATAACTCTGAACAGGAGATACGAGTCTCCTGTGAAAGCCTGACCTTCTAAAAAGCAAACAGTCTTTGATTATGCATCATCAGTCTACATCAGTAACTGGGTACCTAAGCAAAGGCTGACTCTTTGATGCATTAAGCCACTTTCAGCTTCTAGCAAAGAGCAGGTCTGGCTTACTATATAGTACCAAGTGATGAGAAAGTAACATTTAAGACTATGAGCTCTATTAAGAGTCTTTCTGATATAACAACAGAACTTGTAAAGAATACCTATAAGGTCATCAGTTAAATAATGCTATTACCTAGGCTTTAGAGAAAAGAAAAATGGAGTGCCAGACCAGTAAATAACTTCCCCAAGGCCACCCAGAAATGTAGTGACAGAAAGGAGAAGGGACCCAAACAGCCTAACTCCCTGACCAGCTGCTCAGCTGAATGACCACCCTTCCTGGCCCGTGCATATTAGTTTCATCTCAAGGCTACATAGGAGACATCAGCAATGCTCTGCAGTAGCGTGGAGAATTACACGCTGACCCACAGGAATAATGGACCAATATAATATTAATTCTCTAGGAGCAGGGGTTTATAGTCCATAGGGTTCAGGTCACAAACTTGGAACAGCACGAGGCTGTGAATCTGTTTTTCTATCAAACTTCCTCCCTTGGCAGGAGCTCTGGTCTAGCAAGGAATCGATTCTGGCAAGAGGCAGAGGTCGGGTAGGGAATGGAAGAAAATACCACCTGTGATAGTCATGGTATACTCTTTATAGCATGTTTCAAGTTTAATGATAAAATATAAAGTTATATAGCAATGCTACCCAGAAAGACACATCATAAATAGTTATGAGTTGCATTTACTAAACTAGAAAAGGCGTGAAAGCAGCCATTCAAATCAGTCAGAAACTGGGCACGATGTCAGTATAAACCATTTGAGCAAATACATACAATCTGGACTGGTTTCAAATTCAAACTTTCGGCTGTTTGTCCCATATCCAGCTGCAGTTCGGGCTCGAATTTGGAAGACGTAGGTGGTATCAGGTTTGAGGCCGCTGATGGTAACATTGGTGCCTTTGGCTCTCAGAATAGTATAGCTTGTCTCTTGTTCCTGCTTTTGGGAAGAGAAATTATCAGATTAAAACCACACCCTAAAAAACAGAAACAAGAGGTGGTCAGTACGAAATTACTACAAATCACCTGGAGAGCACCAGTGTATTTTTTTAATATTTGTAGCCTGACAAATGTTTGCACAGCCATTCATTTTCAATCAGCTAAAAACCTTTTGATTAGCAAGAAATCTAAATCGTTAGAGCTTCTATGGCCTTGTGCTGTAAATCAAATACTAGACATGCTGAGTATACGACATTTCATTATATGGCTTTGCATCATTTTGTCCATAGTCTGTAATACAAGAAAATGAAGATTAAAATGTTATTTAAAATCATAAACCAGATTTGCCTACTGCACTGAACTGGAAGTTGTAACAGGCCAGCTTAGACATTTTAGAACCCTGCAGAGCTATTGCAGGATTCAGTTTTTACTGCCTTGTGTTTTACAAGACAGCGTTTACCTTTGTAACAGTCAGAAAAGAAACTCCACTTAGGCTCTTCACCTCAGCTCTGCCAACAGGCGAATATAACTGGTTTTCTACTATGCTATAAAACCCATGAGATTGATGTGTCCATCCTCGTTTGGGCAAAACCCCACTGAACTTGCTCCTGAATGAGTCTTGGGCTTTACTAGCCAGAATGGAAATATGTTTGCTCCTTACTGCTTTTTGTTAAAGACCAAGGTGTGTATCCAGCACAGATAATACTCTCACGACCACACTCTGCTTAACAGTCACATATTTCTGACATAACAACTTTTTATATAAAATAAGGAACGGACCATTTTGTAATTTAGTAAGTTTGGATACACTTCACACTGTGTAAAAAGCTAATTCTGATAAAAGTATGCCTCAGTCCCACTGTAAGCACATAGCCTAAAAATTTAAGCATGCATTTGGAGCCTGAGGTATTGCTTATTTTACTAAAGCCATCCTGCACCAAGAGACCATTTTCAGCTTCCTAAAAATGGCAGCTGGAACTGCCTCAGAAAAACTCTTGGACAGCAGCCACACATGTGGGGAACTGTGAGAATCTCAGTTGTTTAGGTTCCCAACCATGAACTTCTTTATTCTGGAGGTGGTGGGGATTTCATATGCTGCCCTTTTGCTTTGAACACTCTGAAATATACTAAACCCATTGAGTTTTGCCTGGTTGAAAGCAGAAACTGAGTTAAGTTAACGTATGTCTGATGCAAACAATCTCACCCAATTCCCACTATGTTTTATGGGATTGCATTAGCTTGCAAGGTACCGACATTTTAACTTTGAACGACACTAGAGTGCCAATGCACAAGTACAGAAGTTTGAAAATACTCAACGCATTCATTGTCAAAGCCACCTCACCTTCACGTGAAACGTTCACGTGACTAGAGCTAGTTTAGCCTGTTTGCTCTGCAGCGCTGTCTGCAGTAAGAAAGTTAGGTTTATTCTGTTAGTAGGTTGACATAAACTGTTCACTTTGGTGCTACAGAAGCCTAACTACCCTGTTCCTGGCAGTCTTTGATATCGAGAGAAACAGAACCATTTACACCATAGCTAGGGAAATTGCCAGAATCTCCACATAATATTCAACATCATGCATGTGAGTAATCACAGTGAAGGGTGAAAGAAAGACAGAAAGAAAGAAAGAGCAGGCAGCTAAGCCTGTGCCTAAAGGTTATCATCCAGAATCAAAACCTCAAAGAGGGTGAGCTGGACCTAGGCTTCAAAGAATGACTATAAAAATGTTTACCACAGCCTGTTTTCATCTCACACTAAGAATAAAAAGGAAACCAGCATCGCACCTCCTCACGGTTTCCCGATACTTCTCTGAAAAAGTTTTCTGTTATAAATTCAGGGGAGAAAACCTACAGGAAGACATTTCTAAGGAGCTAACAGGTTTGCATAAATTTATTTACTTTTGAACTAACAAAGGCCTAGTATTATAATTTGCAGGCTTTCCTTATCATTCAGTTGAATGTAGGCAACTATTTTAAATTCAAAGACATAATAATCTTGTCTTTAAGACATAAAATCTTTTGTGTATGCTATGACTGGACACTCATTTTGATCTCACTTCAGGCTGCTTTTATGAAATGCAAACATTTCCTTCTTGTGCAGATACGTATGTGCAAGGGAAAATATAGCCACGGCCCTGTCTGTTAATAATCCGCAATGGAACTTGGAAAATAAACGTTTAAAACAATGGTATGGAGGATGTCATGGTATCTTAGTTTATGGTAAGCTTTTTACACACATATTTTGTAAGTCATTTTTTATGTTACTAGTAATCAAATCAGTGAAACACCACATAAAAGCCCAAGTTTATCTTTCTTGGAGATGAAGTAAAACTTCAGAAACACAGCACTGTAGCTGCCATAAGCAGAAGGAATATACAAAAAGCAGAGTCAGTCTTTGCCAAGCAGAACTTTAATCAAACACTCTGTTCTATGATAAATAGGAGCTTGGATGCACAAAGCATATTCTTCCTGAATATTTCTGCATAGTTTACCAGACACAGTCTTTACTGGGAAGCAAATCCCACTACCTTTAGTGTCTCATTTGAAATAAGCTTTTATAATTTTAAACTATGTTTTACAAAAGACATATTTTGGATACATTTAACATTTATAGTGGCAGTACTAGTGAGAGTCAACAGTATGTCCTTTTTCAGATAAGCACAGTTAAGTGTTTATATTGTATGAGGAAGAACATTTTCTCCATCAGCTGCATGTACATTTGAGAGGCCAAAACCAGACTACACATCTTTGGGAGGAACCCACAGTCCCGATACTGCTTCCCCTTATTGCCAGGTGTGAACTGTTCATCAATACGACAGTTCCTACAAACCTTGTGGAGTAAAAGTGTGGTCTACCCACCCTCAAAGCCAGAATAATAAGAGTTTAAAAGCAACTAAGTGCATTTGCATGTATTTACTTTTTCAGCCTCAGAAAGAGCACAAACTAGATATCATTATTTATTTGTTGGCTTTAACCAGTCTACTGAGCACACAACTTCAATGATGGAAAAGGCAAATCTGTTTTATTGAGACTGCAATTAAATTTCACTCATTGTTTGCAGCAGACTTCACCTTCATAAAGCGTGTGGGATTTAGTTATCATAATTGTAAGCCACATATTTAAATGAAGCAATTAATAGTTTGTGTGTGGTATTTAGGAGACAGCTTTTTTTTGCATGACAAGATACTCCTTGCAGAAAACATAATTATGTGAGCAAAGACAAGGAGGAAACAAAGTATCTGCTTGTGTAAGAAAAAAAAAAATTGACTTTCGTTATATGTGCACTTCGACAGCCGAGACAGTTAAAATCCAGTACAGCATTATATAGCTGGACTAAACTGGGGTGTCATTTGGTACCATTAACTTAACATAAAATGTTATGCCCTACCATAAAATAAATGCCTAGAAGTTCCATGTAGTATTCCTCTGAAAGAGGATTTTATTTCTTTTAAACGTTTTGAATAAACAGTAACTGGGGCCTCAGAACCAGGCCCTATAGCTTTTTACAGAAAATACAATTCTATTCCAAACAGCGAGTCTGAAAAACTGTCACACTCAGTTCATGATGTTATGCATTAAAACCCCACAGTTTCAATCCAAAAAGTTAAAACAGTTTCCCAAAACTGTAGCTCCTAATCTCTCTAGAAACATCACATAAAGCTCTATTATCTCTTGGTTACACAAGTGAAATCATTGGTGAAAAAAAACCTGAACAGGTTAATTAATTACCCTTGCAGAAAATAAATAGTTTCCACATACTTTATGCCAATAATGCATCAGAAAAACTACATGATATCATAATTTACATACAGGACATTCTATTTTTATTCCAAATCTGTTCTAACATCCTGAATATCAGTACCATGCTGTTGCCCATAAATATCATGTATTCTTTGAAATTTAAGAACAACTTAACAAAGGAAAAAAAAAACCAACAAACATTTGCATGGACAAGGTGTATGACAGAATTGGGCTGACCTGTATTACTCTATTAATGCTGTATTTATTAATTTCTAAGAGATTACAAAAGGTATGGCAAGTAAAAACAAGCAGGAGGGAAAAGAATGGCTCAACATAAATCATCTACCAGCAATCAGGTACGACTTGTCAGGAATGATACCCAGACTGCTAACTGTGAAGGGTTTATTTCCTAGCAGCTGCCACTTAACAGCAGTGGGTTTTTTGATGAGCACAACCAAGACAATTTCTGAAGCAGAAATTCAAATGGACTGCACCAGTTTAAAATGAAAGCTCTCTTTTCAAAAGAGGAGGGGAGAGGGGCTGCTTAGAGATCTCAGACTGAAAAGCAGCATCTTCCAAAGGTGTTTGGAGAAGAGATGAAGAGTAACAGTCCAGCACGGGCTGCTCTGACCTCAGGTAAGTTTAACATGTACAGAGTAGTAGTTTTCAACCTTTTTCAATTTGCAGACCTAAAAAGGGCAATGGATTAAAGCCTCCTGACAAGAGATTTGCTTTTCTTAGTTACCTTTCATAAACCCCGAGGAACAGGCTTCTGACTCCCCAAGGGGCTGCAAGACCGCACATTAAAAACACTGGTGTCAGAAGGTTGTTTTTTAAAAACCGTTTGCTCTAAATGGTCTGGCTCCTATTGTCAAGCAGTTGGCTTTTTGGTTTAAGAAAGCTGTCTGGTGCATATGAACTCCTGATCACACACTTCAGAGGGAAGGAACACATGTGCAGGATCAGCCTCGTAAGACTGGTTGTCTCATGAAGCTGTCGTATGACAACCAGTTGCTCTGTAAGGACTGGATATACTCGGTGGGAATAGCAGCCACGAGCTCAGTCTATGCAAGACTGAGTACTGGAAGGTGACAATTTTCCTGAATAAACAGGCCAATTTCAGTGATGATCAAAACACTGCAAAAAGACAAATACAGAAAGAAAACTTCTCAGCTGCTCAACTAAAATGAACTAAATGCACACAGGTGGAAAAATTCTCTCCCTCTGGAGCAACTAAAACCAGAGAGATGGCCCTACCGCCGTGACGTGCAACGCAGCCGCGGTGTTACACCCCGCACCCCGCGGTGTTACACCCCGCGGTACTTGCGCAGAGCCCCCCAGGCAAGGGCTTCCACGCGGGGGGACTGGAGGGGGAGCCGCGACGGGGCTGCCGCAGCCCTTGGGAAACAAAGATACGGCCAACGGCAGCAAGAGCAGCCACGTAGGTCTCAAATGAAGCACAGGTTAATCATGCAGATAAATAACCTGGCCTGTGCAAAACAGGCTGCAGTTCTGGGATTCTTTCAGGCGTAGGCTCTTTGTGAGGTAAATAGCTCTTCCAAGCCTTACTAAAAGGCAGTATCTGTTTTCTGTTCTTCAAAAACATTGGAAGCAAGAGAGCCTAAATAATTCCTGCATCCCTTCAGTGCTGAGGATGTACAAATAAAAACAATCTAATGTATGCGCCGGTTCTCTTTTACTTCTCAAGACCAGGATCTGGACTTGATCCTGTCCCCGTTGAAATAACAGAAAAAACCCAAAGTGAAGGTCTATAGGCTACAGCTCTATAAGGTGAGACTGAACTGAAATGTTTAGGAAGCTTTCTTTTTCCCTTTTTATCAGTAGTACTACGTATGTTCAGATTTTTACCAAGTTCTTTGAAAGGTTCAAGTGCTCACCAAAAAACCCCACCCAAAATCAGATGACATTAATTTGGGAGAAATCTTTTCCGAATACAACCCCAACTTCCCAACCCCCATTCTTTAGCTGCAGATCAGGCGTGGACTATGAACACCACCTTGTCCCATTGGTAAGCTCCAGGAGAAAACTTTCTAAAGATTAACTGAATACCTGTAGAGCCTTTTTAACCGCGGCTTTGAAGTGGATATTGACACCGCGTCTTCCCTGGTACGTATGAAATATAAGCCTGATTTCTAGATATGAGCAGCATCAGTAAATGCTAAGTTAAATCATTATTTCTGACATTTTTGCAAAGTTTGTCAACTTCAGTAGCAGTACATTCTATCAAAAAGTCTCTCTGTCCAATCTAAAAATGGCTAATACCGCTCTTCACAATCTTCACAACATTTTACGGTCTTTTCAATTCTACCAGTAAGATTTACTAAAAAAACCCCATTATGTTATGAAGATTTTTTTTTTTCCCTAAATACAGATCCATATATGATGTAGAATGGCTGGAAATACAAGAAAATGTCAATATAAAGCAGAACCTATTTAATGGCAGATTTTCTTTGATTTGTAGTTATTTACATAAAATTTATGAAGAATTCAGTTATTCATGGAAAGTGGGAACTTCCATGGTGTAAACCAGTCACTAAAAGGATTGCCCATCTCTTTTCCAAATAATTTTTATGTAAAAGGTGCTTGTGCCACAGGGAAGCACCAAAACATGGATGCTGGCAAATAAATGTATGAACACTGACAGGATAACAGAACTGAGTAAGCAGTAAACTGTACTCAAGGAAAGAAAAAAATAGTACTACAGCTTGTCTGCATTACTTTCTGTATTTGTTCTGATGTGTTTGGGGATGAACTTGGTAGACAACACAACAATTTCACTTTATATTTTCATAATGTTCTCCTTCCCCAAAATTGAACAGTTTCAACACTTGGTGTCATTGAGGCAGACAGGGAGTGAACAAGGGTGTCTCTGAATACTTTACATAGACAAGATGCAATAATTTCATTACAAACGTCCCCTTCAATCTTTCTTCCCACCTTTTCATAGTATTTGACCTCGTAGTCCAAGATGATCCCATTCGGATGTTCGGGTTCTTGCCAAGACAGAGACACGCTGTTCCTGGATGTCCTGTCTTTCCTTATGACTGTGATGGGGGACGGAGCTGTAAGGGGCATGGGGGGAGGAGGGAAGAGAGAAAAGTAAACTGAGTTTATCTCTGTTCCAATCCTTGGCAAAGAGTATTGTTTCCATTTAAAAGACTCACGAGCATAGGTCTGGACTTGTATCAACATTCAGCAGCTGGATTATAGTCCTAGTACACATGCCTTAAAGCATCCTGGCCTCAAGGAAAATGAGCTGAGATTTTCTGTTAGACTGGCAGACCAGTGGCAAGACAGCAGATGGTTTCGATCTGCTACTACAGTGTAAGCAATGAAATACATTTGCTATACTAAAATAGAGAACAAAATAACAGTACTACCTATTTGTTATAATGCTGAAGTATTATCATTACCAGACTCTGAAGAACTCCGATAACATTTTCATATGCACGTGTAAAATGACGCTGGGATAGATTACGTACGAGGAGGTCCTGGTATCCACGACTAGTAATAACCATCAGCACACTGCAGAATACAGCCTCTTTTGTAACATTATTTGGTAAGCTCTCCAGATACAAATTGCTCCCATATACTCTTCTCCTTTACCACATTTCTTTGAAAATGAAGTTTGAAGAAAAAAAACTAAACTGCAAAATAACCTCATTTCTGATCTGTATTAATCAGCTAGGCATGACAATTGATTGCATGCCACAGACTCACCCATCACCCAAAACTTGGAAGTACTATTAACGTACAGAAAAAAATCATAATTACCCAAGATTCTTGTACATCAGTTCAGCTTTAGACCACCCAGCTCTACACGTTGTTCCAAGACCAGGGCTAGGTTTCCTGGACTCACTGAAAGCTATGCCATTTTTTAAATTATTTTTTCTGTTTCTTTAGGGTTGGCTTCCCACTCCAAATCCTTCTCTTCCATGGCTTTGGCCAAAATTCATCAGATGACAGCTTACAGATCACACATTAAAGATTGTAACTGTCATTTTTAAAAAAATCTTTTACCAATAAACAGCCTTTTCTCTTAACATGTAAAAAAATGTGTTTATAAGTTCAACATTGTGCTATCCTAATAAAAAGGCTCTAGCTGATCTAAACAATTTAATTTCAGCTGAATCCTGTGAAGCTTTTACTGTCCATATAAAACTAGTTGCACTTTACAGGCATTACACATTTGCATGCATTAGCCAGTGCCCTTTCTGTTTGGGTTTTCATTCCTGCAAGAGAAATTTCAAAAGCCAGAATAAAAGAAGGTTTAATTGAAATAAATTTTGGAAAATTTGTTCTGTGTTTGATTTTGCTAAACTTCCATCAAAACATACCTTCTAGTCTTGAGTCATAATCTAAATGTTGGCATCCTCCTTTAATTGAGTAGAGCATCTAGAAAGCTACGTACACCCACACAAGCACATACATATATACACACTTCCACATCCATTCTGGGCTGAAACACATCCTCCGAGCAGCATTTTCACATGTCACATGGTTCACAATAGCTTTCTGAGAAGATTAAAAAATTGCAAAAATCCTCCCCCCCCCTTCCCCCCTCAGCAGGAAGAATTTATCCTGAATTTAAATTACCGAAATCAGATTTTGGAGGTTGGGGGTTTCTTTATTGTTGTTTGTGTTTGGGTTTATGGGGAAGTTTGTTTGTTTGTTGGGTTTTTTTTAAGTAGAATGGGAAACAGTCTCTTTCTGTTTTACTCAGACTCACCAGATCCAGGCTTGCTGAAGAACATTAGGGCAAGGTATACAGGACTGGTTTGTAATGAACATCCTTCAGTAATTCCACTTGAATTCCACCCAGGCACAAACCAGTGCTGGAGCCAAAATACAAAGTGGTTAGCTGGCTGGACTGCTCTACCGTAGCCAGCTCTACGTTAACTCATATACCCATGCTTGCTGCTTTTATGCTCTTGTAAGTCATTTTTATGTCTTCTTTTTAAGTCAAGCTATTAATCTTTTTTTGTATGTGAATAGATTGCCAAGCCCAGTACCCCAGCTGGTAACGCTTCCCATTAAGGTAACATTAATACAGATTTTATGAATAATTAATATATGATTAACAGAAATGGCTTTTCCCCTAATAAATTATGGTAATTTGTGCTATAACACATTCTCAGGGCAGGCTGAAATAATCTTATATGCTCCAATACAGATGTGCTTTAAAAAAAAGCTTTCTTCTAACACAGTATTAATTATTTTGAGCTCATTTACACACATCTCTGCAGATGCTAGCAGTAACTTATCTCACAGCAGTTCATTAGAAAAGTGTCTGCTCTGCAGTTATCAATAACATTATAAAACATTCATATACCTTTTCTAATCCCTAGGGTTCCCAAAGCTGCTCAGAAATTGCACATACAGAGTGTCTGGAAGAGACAGCATCCCACCTCACGGGTAAACGGAGGGGAGGTGGATAATCATGGGGAACACAAAGTTTCGGGCACCTTTAATCCCACGCACAGAACACATCTGAGTTCTGCAACACAGTGCTGCATGCCAGGCCGCTCCAACAGCTACTGAACCTCTCAGCTATGGAAATTACGTATTCCAAATCTGTTTAAATCACCATCTTATCCTAACTACGTGGATTACAAAAGTTACCTAGTTTTAAGGCATTAATCTTCAGCGCATAAAGGAACAGTGCCTTCAGACATTTCAGCGGTCAACTATTTATTTCTAGAGGATAAACCGCACTATTTATGCTCAGAGGGGAAGATACGGATTTGTAACAATTTTAATTTTTAACACAGGATGTTAAAAATAAAGACTCAAAATCTAGGTATAGATTTCACAATGTTCCCACTATCTCTGTGTGTTCACAACGGACTTTACAGGCAACAGCTGACTGTGATCTGGCTCTATGTTTCTATTGACCAAACAGAGCCCCGGAGAGGACGGCCCTCACAAGACCCTCTTCCAGCAGCTCCTCTCCCGGCACGACGTCAGGCTTACAGCTCTTCGAAGCACAGGTCAGACCGAACTGTGCTGCTCCTGGGACGATTCCAGCACCGGGACCCTCCTTCTGCAAAAAGTGGAGCGGAGGGGAGCAAGGCTAAACCTTGAAGCGAGCATCCCCGACAGCCAGCCTTGCAGAGCCCTTGCAGAGAGACAGAGGTGGCCGGCTCTTCTGCTGCGCCTGCTGCCCTGCACAACTGACGTCTCTCCCTCTATTTACTAAATTCTTTCTTTGCCCACGTCCAGAACCGACTCCTCTACTAACACACGGGATCGACTGATGAACACGCGCCACGCTTCGGTTTGACCAGGGTGAGATACGATGGTTTGACTGAGATGAGATACAAGGAAAAAACTACCAGCACAGCACGTGGCATAACCTTTCCTTTCTGGTCTGCAAGATGCTGGACTGTTAAAGTTTTAAATCTTAATGCAATCTTTTTTTTTTTTTTCCTGCTATACCTGTTAGGTGGGTTTGAAAAGTGTTAGAAGTCCTTGAGCCCTAATGTAAGAAAACATCTTGTTCCAACAACTTCTAAGTTTACGCTTAAATCTACTGCAATCAATGAATTTAAGATACAGTAAGAGTTAAGGTAACCTGCAAGTCTGTATTGTCCTGCACAAGGACAGTCATATGGCAACAGAGGTGCCTATGGCCCCAGCTCAGGGCCGGGGTGCAATTGGGAGGAATAACTTGACATTTGGACCATGGAATGAATATCTTTTTGTATGCATCCCTAGACTACAATGTAATAAATCAAAACTTCTGAACTGTGTTCTGAATAGTGTCTAAGCAGAAGTCAGCCTTTATTTCCATTTTGTAACTCAACTAATCCTTCCTTCTCACCAGAGCAGCTCAGTTACTGTATTTTACTACTTACTTTGAAGAGTATGAAAATCCAGAAAAGGGAGAAACCACTGTTAAAGGACGTTAACATTATACACCATTAAACAACGAAGACATCACCATAAGCAGCAATGCACATAGTCTTTAGTCTTCTGTATGAGGAAGAGAGAACCAAGAGCTTCCTGTTTCCTGAAAACCATTAAAGAACTATAATAGGATGAGACTAAATTAAAAATCAGGCTACAAAAAGGAAGAGAAGTACTTCATATTTAGAATAGCCGTTTTTTCATTGCAGTTCCAGGATTTTCCTTTCTTAAAAGACAGTTAGATTGTGCAACAACAGAATGCTAGAACAGCTATTTTAAATGTCTGCAGCTCCCACTGACAAAAAAAAATTTGCACCATGGGTTAGCAAATAATGACACATTGTGAAGCTTTTTAGGATAAATGGAAGTTTTTAAAATTATATTAAGGCATCAATAGCAACACAAAATTAGGTTAAACTAATTTATTATTTAGAAAACATACATTTCAAGGTAGAACTTGAGGAGAGTGCTTTTTTAGACTAAAAAGTTGAATACACACCATTTCAGCCATTTTTTGATAAATCCTGTGGCTTGTATACATCTATGTATTTACTTTTTATTGGTGTTTTGATTAACGTATTAGTACTCTTAACTTCTTCACTGAATAAGAGTTGGGTTTTTTTATAATTAACTTTAGACTTGTGTGGCCATGCATTAAGAGGTTTAGTCTCAATGGTCACATGCAATGCATATAGAGGCATTTTTATGCATCAGATGGTTACTATTTGTCTGGTACTACAATCTAACTGGTTTATGACTAGTTTAAGCAGTTAATATGAACATTCAAAACTCCCTAGAGTTACAAGGGGAAATGTACTTTGAGCGCTCAATGTTGTTAGGTAGCATTTGTGACAACTGGGAATGTGGATGTTGAAAAGGTAACAAACACAATGATCCAGGGAGCTTAAACTCACAAGTGTAAAAACCTCCTCAGTCATGACTATTAAAGGTGTAAGCAAATAACATGAAGGATCTAGCAGAGACGACAATAAAACTCTGCTCAAATTGATTTCCCAGAGAAACTGACCCCAACAGATCATTTGTTTTCCTCCAGTTTAATAGCAGCTGTATATAAATCTCCTTATTGACTTTTTCCTTATTCCTTGATTATTATTTTCATATGTGACTGGCTTACAGATGTATATATATACAC